ACTTGTATCATAATAAGTAGGCCGAGGGAAATCTTACAAATATGGATATGCTAATATAGGCTGAAATAAACTCGATACTTAAGACTAATATATAGTTGACCTCAGCATTTTCTAACAATGATATATATATCTTTAATTGTAAAAACATTTAGTGAAATCTGTTAAATACTGACAATTACTACAAATTAGTTATTGATATTTTCAGAAATTTTTCAGAAAACCTATCCATCAATTAGCTATGCTCTCCTTTAGTCTAGTTTATAAATGTTTAAAGCCTTAGCAATGTTACTAACCTTTTTCAAAGTTTGTAGGACTGTAATTTTTACTGGTACTCATCCAGTTATCTTTAACGTGCTGTAAGTAATTTAACCTTGGAAGTAAGTATCCTTACAAATTTTTTCTTCAGCTATAATTTAAGGTTAAAGTGTCGAAGATTGCAGAAATCATCAAGTTAAGCTTTCAGTACCATGAACTCATCAAAATCTGACAATAATCTGACCAGTATATTTTTAAAATAACTTAAAATAACTTTATTAGATCATTGTTATAACATTTTAAAATTAGTTCTTTATAAATGAAATAAATATACATACAATTCCCATTTAAACATTAGAAACATGAATTTCAGAGAAGTGATCTTTTTCCAGAGAATTTATTTCCAAACTGCGCAATCACATATATATGGAATGATAAATGATGATGTGTGTGTATGCACAGATAAAGGTCTTGTAAAATTAATAAGTTGGCAATGGTTTGTAATGCGAATGGAGAAAAATAATTAAAATGTTTTGTTACAATAATTATAGGTAATAGTGGAGTGAAATGGAATGACGTGGTGTCAGAAACAGTGGTGATTAAAATTATGAGTATATGAAAAATAATTAAAGAGAAATGAGGACTTTATCGAATATGAAAAATAATAATACCAGTTTAAGACCATGGTAAAGATAAGGATAAGATGTAATTCATTTGTTTGCACAGTTACTGGTTAATCTCAGGGATGGTTATAGTCATATTTGTTTTAATGAGTTGGATGCAAAGATATCTAGGTAGATTTGAATAAATTTTATAAACAACCTTAAAAGTAACTTGTAGATAAGTGGTTTAACTGAAATCAATTAAATGTTGAAGAATGGAACTACTGACTGCTGTCCTCTTACTATTGTAGCATCACACTTAGACATGTTCTTGTATTATAGTTGAAATCAAGCTCTGGTTAGGGTCTATATGTCTTGCTCAACAAGAGCGGTTGAATCGGTCTATGTACATAGAAGTGGTTCGACGAGGAAGCCTATGCTTTACGGATACAGAAAACAAGTTTCTACCAGTAAACGTTATTCACAGTTTTACTATCGATACCCTTAACTGGTTTGTATATACATCAGAAAAGAGAAACGGACCTAATGGATTTCTTTTTCCAAATTCCTTTTATGTTCGTCATTGTGGAGCGGCTTGGGTAACCGCTTTCAGGCAATGTTTTTCTGGAGGAATCCAAGTTCATTATCAATCCGTTCATTGCTACATAAGTTTTGTTTGTTTACTGTATAAGAATTCACCACTCCTCTTTTTCATGTCCTCACGGTAGTAATACTTTTATAATTCCGTATTTTCGCATATATATATATATATATATATATATATACGATTGTACAATTCGATAAAAATTTGTCGAAAATAGATTTCTTTGCTAAACGTCGTGTTTTTAAATATGTATCGTAGTCGAAGGATTTGTAAAGAATAGAATAATGTGGTTGATGTGAACCTGCTTGTAAAGCTACTTTGTAAATGTAAAATTTTTAATTTCAATATCTAAAGCAAACATAAACGATAGACTCTAGTAGGAAATGAACGCACAGTTCTTGCATACTTTGATTACGGTGTTTAACAATGGCTAAGGTTATAAAATTCGTTAAATCTTTCGAAAGCATTCATTATTTTATTATATGCTTACAAAACTATTTTCACGTACTATTCACTGCTTATTAAGTCTGACAACTATATTTTGGATCAATAAACTTTACCTTAAATAAAACAAACGTAAACAGAACTTGATCAATTTACATTCGATACTGTTTCATACTCTGTGAATGAATTTCTAGATTAACTTTATATTATTCACCCACTCACTTTCCTCTCCCTTATAATGTGTAATTCAAATCATTTTGTGTTGAAATAACATCATTGATACTAAACTATCTACAATTCATTGATTTTCTTTATTGTCAATGTATGAATTCGAATGTTTTTCTACATTTTCTGTATTTTTCTGTAAAACATTACATGACAATAAAATTATCACATGTTATTCAATTGAAATAATAATCAAGTTATATAAATTGTTAACAAGAAGCAATCATAATCAACCATTTAATTGAATTCATATGAATCCTTCGTTTGTTTTAACGAGACAGTAATTACATTTGACAAATTGTTTTCTTTTCTCTTTTTTTCTTTATTTTTTTTATAAATGAATAGAATATTTACAGTTTACTTATTCTTTTAAATCTATTCTGTTATGTTATAAATGACATTTCATTATATAATACTAACTTGTTAAACTATATAATTATACATTTGAAAATCATTTGATTGTTGGATTATATAAATTGGTTATTAAAGATATAGTTAAATATTGCTATCATTTATCTTGTTGAAAATATAAAAGTGATTTTTTCAGTTATATGCAATGTTTTCAGGGAAAATATGTTTTTTTTAAAAAAATGAAATCTTATTGCATGATTAGAGATTAGTTTATGCTTAGGTGTATTTGGTAAAAATATTAATATGTTGATAATAAAGTAAAATTTATAAACGTTCACTTATTTCATGGATGAATTTGTGTGATAATATCCTTTTCATAATAACTAAATACTAAAACAGTACTTCAGAAGTTTAAAACAGTGGGAAAATTTATTAAAATAAATAAATTTCGATTATTTCTTAGTTTACATCCACTTGTTATACATTTCCGTGTTGGATGTGGGATAGTTATTCACCTCAGACAACGGATGCAACGTTGCGCAAGATCATCTATCCATTGATGTTAGATATTAACATTGTTAGATGATGGTTCAGTGATCTAGAGGTGAGGCATTCGTGCGCGAGACCTAAGGTTTTGGGTTTGAGTTCCAAGTGAGGTATCATGGATACGCAGTGCTGAGGAGACCCGTGCAAGGACGAGAAGGCCATATAGTGCTTCCAGGTTTTTAACGGCAGTCTAGTTTACATTATCTGATAAATTCAAGTTTTACATCATGGTAAATTTAAGAAATAATCAGCTAAAGGATGGATACTAACAAATTTTTCATAAAATTATAAGTTGATCTCAATTGTATATTAAGCAGACAGAGCTACTGACTATGTTTTTCAACGTTAGACCTATCATTGGAACGGGTCATAGAAACGACATTTAAATAGGTGCTTAATTAAAATTGGACCGAATACCGAGTATGCGTGTTTCGTCCTTTCTAAGACCCATCAGGTGGATGTGTGGAGTAGCGTTACCCACTTATCTACTGAGTCCAGATAGCCACTGGCTTGTGAAATAAGGCGAATTATAATTTTTAAGTATTGGTTGTTTTAATTTTTGCAGTGATGTTTTGAACTGGAAACGATCAGTCTTTTTTTGGCATATTTGCATGCTAAGCGTTCGCTTTCGGTATTGCCATCAAGTTATAAAGATACTGAGTAGAGTTGAATAGTGGCTATCAGTGCATTCCTTCTTATTTAAAATTCGTCATTTGGATGAAAATGCATTTCGGAGTTGATGTTAAGTCAAGGACTCGGACCTTCAACTGTAAATTGGACGTGAATTCTTGTTAGTCAACACATAAAGTTTTAATACTCAATAAAATGATGTTAAATCGGATTTGGTGCATCAAGGTACTTCAAATCACAGATATCTCCTGTAGAATTACCATTTAATATGATATCCGAAATCTTAATTTCTTGCAATTTGTTTCCAACCAACTAAGATCTGAAGTAAGATGTCACACAATGTACGATTGCTTAATGTGGTGTGCAAATCAATAATCGACCTATAATTTGGAACATCTCTAAAATATAGCCTACATGATATTAGCTAATACTAGGAGGTTTCTGTATATTTCTTTAATGAGCATCGATTCATTCAACATTTAATTAATTAACAAATGTTGTGAACTTATTTTCGATTTATTACATTCTTGTATCTTGATAAATAAATAAAAATTAGGTTTCCATTTTAGTCATCCCGTTGGTAACTAATGGCTTAAAGGTACAATAAAGACAAACTATTATATAAAAGTTCATTAACTTATATATTTAGTATTTATTTTATGTAAATTACATAAAAATTTCATCATTTTGCAAATAGACTATTGAAGTGTAAGAAACAAATCTCAAATGATGAAATTAACTTTTTATTAATAAAGTAATATAATTCATTTTTACCCCCCACTATATTCTATTTACTTTAATTTACTATATGAAATCAGTACTATTCATAAAATGATATTTAGTTTATAAAATCAATTTGCTAAATGATTAATTCATTGTCAAATACTTCAAAAATAAATGTTCTTTGAAAGCTACAAATTTAAATTCATGGTAAACTTCAGGTACATTTGTCTATTTTATAGAATAATTACAAGGAAGATTTTTAATTCTTAAACAATATTTCTTTAATATTTTTTTTCCTTCTTTTATTATTCTACACAAACTTTTATTTAAATCAAATATTTCAAGTTTAATTAATGTGTTCATTAAGTTAAATTGTTCTTAATCACTGTCAAATGAAAACAATTCATATGTGTTCAATAAATCTATTTAAGATCTAATTTAACTGATCAAATAAAATAATTGTGCAACAAAAGGTAGAGTTACTAGCAAATACACTGAAAACAGATACATTCAAAATTAAATTCTATGCGTTTCTTAACTAATTTGCATATGAAATAACCCACTGAATTATATATATATATATATATATATATATATATATATATATATATATATATATATATATATATATATGGATAGATAAAGAGTATAAAACATGACCGTATTTGACCGATCAGACTAAGAATAACATAGTGTTTATTTCTCTAACATTCTATTGGATACCATCAAGTACATAAAAGCGATTCTCTTCAAAGCAAAAGGCATAATACTCGAATGGTTTACTTTCTAAATGAGTCATTTAACTAATGGAATATAAAACCTGTATATCTACTAGAACAAAAGTAAAATGATCAAATTGTTATAATTATGAAGACTATTTAAATAATGAAGTTTGGATAAAGTTATTATTACTCTAGATATACTTAATAAACAATTAAAATAGCATTTAGTAAACAAATATTATAAAACAGAATTGATTTATTATTTTAACTATTTATCATAGTTTGAAAACAATGAATATTCATGTTGTGCCTAAAATCCTTTTTCCCAATAAAAAATATTATAGATTATCACCAACACAAGTATCACAAACATTAACAATGACAACAGAACAACAACAAGAAGATAAAACAATTAAAAATTCCGATGAACCTCAACTAGTTACTAATAAAGAAGATGATACACTTTTTGAATATTCAAAAGTTAGTGAAGTTGAAACTGTTTCAAAAGACAAATTACCAAATTCATTATCACAAATTTCAGTTAATACTCAACCATTAAATGATTATGATAAATCGCAAGAGGCAACAAATTCAACAGGTAAGCAATACAAAGAATAATTGTTAATTATTTAATATATTTTATAGTCGATTTATTCATGTATAAAAAAACTACCAAACGACTACGATTGATATTCTTTTTCACCATACTGATATACATGATGTCATGGGCTGATATCATTTATCAAAAATAAAAATCAATATCAAGTTGCTATATTGTCTCGGTTTGATTTACGTATCTGTTATTTCATCCGTAATCGGAGTCAGGATATTCTGACTTTATAGTGAACACAATAGCTTTAGGTTATCGAGTCGATTTACACTCAAATCATTCTAGCAAACATGACATTCATAAACAGTTGGGAGGGAGAAGAAAACATTGTTTATTTATCAACAGTAGATACAAGTTTAATTTAACTCAAATCGTATATATGTGTATTTATGATTAACGTGAAATAACAAGCTACTTAACTGAACTAGTTATCGCCAACAAAAAACTAGCTACACTTAAACATGTGTGGTCAACTACCTGCCATTATTTCTAGCACTGTAGAATTACACCCTTGTAACAAATGAAATATTAAAATGTGATATTAGAAAATCATAGAATGCTAATTACGTTTTGGAAATAAACAAATGCGTTGTCTATTGAGCAGCCCTTCTTTAAGAAATATATATATATATATATATATGGTGGTTACTCTGAGGCTTAGTAAATGTTCATCGAGTACAAAGGCTTAAGAGGCAAGCTACTTTGTATGGTACTTCGATGTTTAATAACAAATTAGGAGAAAGTTGAATTTTTACTTTATTATTGTTGATAAATTTTCATCGAGTATGTCAAACATTCGGAAGTATTTATATATTGTCAACATTATATATGGTTATATTTGTTATAACTTGTCGTTTGAATGCTTATTGTCTTGGCTCTTCCAATGCTACTTTTTGTATCTAGTCGTCGTTGATTGTTATGTCGGAAACGCCTATAACTTATACTCGGAACGAGGGACCTATGCAATTCCCATGACGCGAAAGCAAGAACACAAAGACCGGTATAAGTGATGATTTATTAACCCAAAACACTATGACGACGACAACTCTAGTAGAAAATACACTCATTTATGTATTGATTGTACACACTTTGATTAATAATTAGGGTGGAGTCAGATATATGGAAAATACTTAGTTATAACAAATCCCATACTGAGCATAGTTCATGTCAATGGAATACAAAAATATCATACGAGAAAAGGAAATAAATAATACATTGAGTAATCATTACATTGAATCGAAACGGAAGTAATCTTGAACAAAACTCATGATGAGTAAATCAATCGAAAACTGAATTTTCTATCCATCATATCAATATTCAACATTATAATTCACGCATTGACATATGTAGTTCACATGCGATTGGTTAGGCGACACAAAACATTCACAGCCGTTTGACATGAAAATATTGTTAACTTGGAACTAAGTCACTTAGATTAGTGGTTACACGACTCTTAGATTAGTCTGATGCAATCAGAGCTAAACACTTTAAAACATGAATGTTAATTGTCATTAAGTAATCAATCGCTATCTGATGATTAAAAATAATCAAAATTCGCATTAAAAATAAGAGGTTCTCTTTATTGTGGTTAATTTAACCTAAACATAGACTATTTTAAGTACATTTAAAAAAGAAATATTTATAATAAGTCATGACATTAACTTCTTAGAACGTAAGATTCATCGCACAAAACCTATAAACTTTTGTTTGTTGTGATTCTGAAAAAGTGACACATGTATTATGTCGACTTAGACAGATTGCGAGATTTACTTAAGAGATAAGTAACAACTTTATCTAATAATCAGCAAACAGAATGCACAGAAGCAGTCAGTGAATCATCACTGTCATGCCACTTGTTACAATGGTTTCTGTGCTTAAGCAATGTTACGTTAAATTCTAGATTAATTAGACTGATTAGATTAGGCGGTGTTAACTGACAATATTTAACAGCTAACTTTTCCGCTTTAAAACCTTTTGAAGTACAAGTTATTTTATCCTTCAAAAATCAAAACAGAATGTAATGCAAAGATCAACTTGATGTATTTGACACAGTCTGTTTAAGCAAAATATTTCGATTAGTTTGATAAAACAATTGAATATTATGATGTTTTATGTTAGAAATGAACAAAGGTTAATTCACTAAATAAGCCATTATATAGGAGAGAAATAGTTCATATTATTACAAAACTCGTATCATTTATCCAAAATACTTATTAGAATAATATACATGATGGATTATCAGCGTGGGTTAAGCATGACACCCAACTATTTTTAGACTTATTGACAATTTTGTTCATAATAACCGCTCATACTGACCTACAAATAACCTCCTGATAGTTTTAACACAGAATCTTAAGTCTGCCTTAAGGTCAATTAAATGACTTTCCTTAGAATGTATGTTTGGCTGTCGATAACCATTTTTCTCAACCTTGTATCAAACGTGAATTGTGATTTAATCAAAATTTAAAGTTAGTTCACCATACTTTTTATCAGTCTCAATTCCATGAATTGCTTACGTCACTTTGTTTATAGACACTGACAAAAAATCATGATTATAATATGTTATGACTGAAACATATTTAGTGAAGTAAAAATCCGTTTTCTAGCAAATAATTATAAACAACACTATGGTAATCAAGAACAACGTTATTTAAATTAAAGTAATGTAGAAAAGCTGTTCTTGGCTTTCCATTTAGCATCAACGAACAATACAATACCAAATTTTCTGATTTAAATATCTTCCTATTTTATCGCCTTTGATGTCAACTTCTAACGTTTAATTAATATAATTTCAGTCAACTCATAAATGAAACGAAAAAAGATTAAGTTCGTTAGTAGGTATCGATACCAAATGGGTGGAAAGTTAATAATAAATATATTTTTGTGATATTCTGATGAGTAGAAAACTGTATTTCTGGTGTTTCGTAACCTAATGTCAGTCGTTTCTTCAGAGAATGCACTTTGTTTCTTAGTCCCCTATTCAGTAATCAGAGGTCAGATTCAATAGGTCTTTCAAGAAATTCATTATCAATATGGCTGATTAGAAAACAGTTCAGTATTTATTTCTCAGCTTTAATATTCTCTCATTTACTAAAAATTGATCATTTAACACACCTCTACATAATTCTATTTATGTATTACAATGATGGAGGTAATTGCTTATGATAAGTACGCATTAAAAGAGAATTTAAAGTATGTTTAAAAAATATTTTAGGAAAATGAATTATAATCTATGCCCATGAAAACGTTTTGCTAATAGTTAAGTACTTAGATACAAATACTTTTTTCAAGAATCGCATAGATGAAGCAAAAATGAATTAATCGTTTTTTCATTAGACTGACAATTGGTATGGTAGGTGTTGTTAGTAATAAATATAGAATTCAATCCGGTGTGTATAGTGAGTTAATTTTGGTCTCGATAGATTGAATATAGGTTTTTGATAATTGGAATTTAATTTTTATCATTTACTCGATAAGTAATACTGAATAAAGCCTCAGAGAGGTGATAAAGTTTTACTTAAGTCAGTCATAACCAAGTGATATTTTTTTACGTTGAAAAACCTTTGCAAACATTTCAACTGAATTTAGATTTTCACTGAGCAATATCGAACCTATGTATAGTGTAATAATTGTCAGTCTTATATGGTATTTTAGGACATTTTAAATGAGCAACAATTTTTGCGATGTTATAATCAAATAACTAATCCATATATTATTGTTTGTTGGCTGATTGAAAAACATCTAACAAGTAACTATCAAGTGATTTTGAAGAACTCCATTGAAACCTTCATCAGAAAATGAAAAAGTAATTGCTCGCCTACATTCGGGACTCTAATTTATTTATTCTGTTGTCGGGAATAAAAAGTTTATACTTGGTACCAGTTAATTGTAATCGATACCGATTGGTAAACAACATAAATTTCTATTTGAAGAACAAAACTAATGAGTTGGATCAGTTGTAGCATTACCATAAAGAATTAAAATGATGAAAACGTATGTGAGCGTATGATTGATATTTACAAAGTATTACAATCGATACAGAAATCGATGTTCAAGTGTAAATTCATTGTAATAAACATATTCGCAGAACATAGAATAAAAAGGATTTTACTGTTTTTAAAATTGTCATTCACCATAGTTTTGATTTGATAACTATGGTTTTAAATGAATGAGTTACAGGTAAATAAAAGAGAAAGTGTTTTAGAATGGACAAATTTTTCAAACGTATAAACCTTTCTTTTAAATTTCACACGGCCTGATCATTATATTAACTAGTGAAGCACCTGTAAAGTTAATATATAGTTGTAGTTGATTCTTTAGTCGAATACTCATATTAAGTAAGGAAGAAATCAATATAACAGACTGAAGTCGCAAGTGAACCTTTTACTGAATTCATTTAGGTTTGTATAAATTTTGTTCACAACTTTCAGTATAGTTGTTCTTCATTTCCTTAGCTTATCGATGATAAAATAAGTGATTTTTTAAAAACACTATTTCACCAATTTGAAATCATCATGATTGAACACTTGAGGTAATACACATTCAATTCTCCTTTTAACGTTAGATTTTATGTGACTGAAGATTTGTTAGTATGTATCAGTCACTATAAAGTGTAGCTCTTCTAGAGTTACTGCCGGTCCCAAGCCCGAGTAAAGGAGGAGGGTTGGGCATGGGGTTAGCGTCCCCATCCCGTAGAAAACTAACTCGCTAAAAAAACGCTTACCAGAAAAAATAATTCAAACCATTTTAACTCTGCCCTGAGAGTTAGAAGGTCTTCATTTAGAAGAATTATGACGCTTCATGGTGAAAGCCGAGTTCCTTCGGAAGCCACGAGGCCGATGCCCCTTCTAACAACCAGAGCAAACATTTTTATAGGTACATGGAACGTTAGAACAATGTGGGAAACCGGGAAGACCAGCCAAATAGCAACGGAAATGAGGAGATACAACTTAGCAGTACTGGGAATCAGCGAAACCCACTGGACCCAA